GGGTTGGCGGCATGGCTCAAGTGATAGAAGATAGCCATACGCAAAACAAAACAAAACAAAACAAAAAAACAAGCAAAAGGCCCTGAGTTAAGCCCTGGTATTAGCATAAAAATAGTCATATATCTTTTCTATACGGTAGATATCAATATATAGTTATAATTATCTACCAACTCCCCTAGTTCTTAAAATCATCTTTGACTCTGAAACAAAAGTAATGAGAGTACTGGACAAACCTTCCTGAAAGCTTTGGTCACTATTCATTAAAAAATATTTGGCATTTATAGTTGCTTATTATTTTTATAAATGTAATTTAGGAAGAAAAATTTTAATTATTTTTAAGAAGGGCCTGAAGAAACCTAGTGAAATGTTCTGCGGAGAAGTCTTTTGTTAGTGTAACTTCTGACCTTCTATATCTCTGGAAATCATGCAACTTGGCTAATGTAGTCCTTAAAGAATTAATCAAGCAGATTGTAAGGCCCTAGTTACAGTGGAGCCAGCCAATTATGAGTTGCTCAGAAATTCATCATTGGCATGTCCAACTACATTTTCCCACATGAAGATTAGCAAAAATATGTGGAAACAAGGTCCATTCCCACCCCAGCACAGCTACAATATGTATCCAGTGAAAATAGACAAAGTTTTGTCTTAGTAAAACAGCAATTTATTTGAGACTCTTTTGAGTTTAATACTTTTTTCTGTCAACATCGCAAAGACTGCCCTATTTAGCTAACACCCAACTAGAAACTTCTACATTCAAATACATTTCTTAGTTCAAAGCACTAAAAGCACATGCTACAGCCTGATCTTATCAGTAAGTTAATAAAATCCCCTAAGATCATCTTTAAGCCTTTTCATTTTTGTGATGACACCTTCTAAAGCCTTTTCTGCAAAGTAAATAAATAAATAAATAAATAAATAAATGAACTGAAAAGGGCCAGAGTAGATGAAGATTGGTTCTCTAAGGAGAGGGCAGTGCTGCTTTTAAATAAAGACGCTCCTTTCAGATAAGCAGAATCAGATTCCACTTCATTTGGCTTCCTGGCTACCCTTACTGTGAACTCTCATACTTAACCCAGCAGGCTTCAAAGCAGGTGAGAAAATGACCTACCACTTAAAAGCAATTTTTCCTTTTTCAGGAATTCTGGCCTTGGAGAATATCAGCTCTGATATCAGCACATTCCACATCTCCAGGGATTTATGCAATTTTTTCATTACTCTATGTCTAATGTCAGACAAGGTTTTCATCTTGGCCAGGAGAAAAATCAGGAGGAAAAAAACTTAACTTGCTGGGAATGAAGTCTTATTCCACATAGCCTTATACCATGCCAAAAAAAAAAAAAAAAAAGGCATTAAACTTAATTAACTATCCTAGTTCATTCCCTTCCACTTACCTAAATTTGATTCACAGTAAGATTTTTAAAGAATCTTTAGCTTCAATCAAATGGCATCATTAAAAACCAATATGTATAAGACATTTTTGCCATTCAATAAAGCAGTTTTATAAATGCAATGCATCTTGATCAGTGTGACCCCTTTCAACATTCTCACCCATGCTTCCAAACCCCTACCCCTCTATCACTCTTCTTAATTTTGTAGGATATACATTCAATTTTTAAACTGCACCCCCCCCCCCTTCTTCAGTCATCTACTCCCTCCTCTTGATATAACAAGCACATTTAGAAAAATTTGCCAGGTGCTGGTGGCTCACGCCTGTCATCCTAGCTACTCAGGAGCTGAGATCTGAGGATCTCAGTTCAAAGCCAGCCTGGACAAGGAAAGTCTGTGAGACTCTTATCTCCAATTAACCATCAGAAAACTGGAAGTGGCTCTGTGGCTTAAGTTGTAGAGTGCTAGTCTTGAGCTGAAGAGTTCAGGGACAGTGTCCAGGCCCAGACTGACAAAAATAAAAATATTAATAAAAAAATAAAAAATTAATTTGCTCTAGCATGTAAGCTACTATAAAAGACATAAGATGAGAAAGACACAATGGTAACAAGAAATTTAGCTGTGGTGGTATAGTCCTGTTACTCTGAAGGCTGAGGTATGAGGATATCCTCACAATTAACCTCCACGATCACTTGCTTAGCATGCACAAGGTCCTGGGTTTGATCCCCAGCACAAGAAAGTTTGAGCCAATGAGTTGAGACCAGCCTGGGCAATACAATATTTCAAAAACAAGCAAACAAACAAGGCAAATAACAGATAAAAGGGGAAAATAAATAATTAGGGTATATTCTTAAATGCCTTTGCCTTACTAAATAGAAGAACAAACATGTCTCAATTAGACTTCAGCAATTTCTACTTTATTTGGTCATCATATATTTCTGGACTTAATTGAAAATAGCTCAAGAATGCACTGAGTTCAAACCTCAGTTCTGAAAATGAGAGAGAGAGAGAGAGAGAAAGAGAGATCCCTAAAATAGGCAGTTTATGCCATATCAACAGTTCTGTTCTATAAAGCAATTTGCCAGTGTGCTATGGATTTTGACCATTTATCCTCTTTTTATGGTTCACAAACACATAATGCATCAGAGGGGCAGTACTTATAGTACTGTTTCCTGTCTCAAGTAATGACAGTGATAAACAGCAGCTAACACTTTTTCTTTAAAATGTGTGCACAGATGATTCTAAACACTTGATATATTTTAAACTTATTTAACCCTCACCAAAATCTATGCAGCAATACGATTTCATATTTTACAATTCAGGATAGAGAAAGTTAGGGTATTTACCTGAAGTAAAGCAAAGCAATCTGGCTCTAGGGTTTGCTGCTGCCCATCCCTGAACTTGGCAAGGTAGCACTATTCAGCTTTTCTAAATTCCTTATATTGGTATGGTAGAGTTCAGCAAGGCTTTGTAAGTTTTAAATGTATACACAGGATTACATGGGGTTCTTGTTAAACCGCAGTTCTCATTCAGGTGAAGAATGACCCTCTAATTCAAGCCTTGCTCCTTGTCTGTCAAGGATGTATGTGTTGTGTTTACAAAGTGAAGACCACTCATACTACCATCATTTCTAATAACTCTTACATGGGATCTGCTTTTATAATTGCTGCATATTATTATTGATTTGCAGGTACTATCAGTAAAATACTTACCTTTTAGGAATTTTAAAATATACATATAAAGCCAAAGGGATAAATTGTGTCTGTAAAAGTTCATTGTCAGTGATATTTTAATATCATATATCATCAATTATACAAAAAGTGAATAAATGTTTATTGTTCATTAATCAGAATCACAGTATATCAATTTAATCTGAAAAGGAAGAATATTCTGTAAAATATGTAATTTTTCATTCTCAAGAGTCTCCTATAGGAGTGCTAAGGAACTTAAGTCATCTCAAAGGCTTTTCAGTGCCATTAGTGACGTCTCTGGTAAATGCAATGGCTATGTACTGACATTGGTGGACAGAGCATATATTGAGTACATACCACATTAAGTTAGCCAGTACTCAAAGAAATATACAACTAATAGCTGCTACACATCCATTCCAGATTCTAGATCTCTCTCTTTGTTCTATTTCTTTTCTTTCCCATTCTACTACCTTGAGAAAAATCCAAGAGTCACCTCACTCATTTGTTTGTTCATATCTTTTAAATACACAGTTGTACATTTTCCTCAGCTGTTAAATGGATGAAATTTTTCTCTCTGTAGTCCATTTTTCCCTATACAGTGATGGCATTTCACTTGAGATATACATTTACTTTGCAGTCAGTACTACTGCAGATAACAGAATTGTGATATAGTCTCTAAGTTTCCTTTTCATACTAAAACAAAGTAGAATAGTCAGTTTCCAATCCAAGTGTCTATACTCCATGAACAACATTGAGAAGTCATTCTTCTTGAATCCTGACCCAGAATCAAATGTATATTCAGACTCTTAGGCCTACAGCTAGTGGTAACTTAACACATTATACAGTTGATCTTCAGGGAAAAAGGAAAACCAGTGCTCTTACCACTGGTGTCAGAAGAAAGCCAGCTAACTTGTAAGGCACAAAATAAACTATTCTTAAGGCAGGAAAAGAAATTGTGAGGACAATAGGGAATTAAAATGGAGACATACAGAGAAAAATATAGAAAATACATTACCAAGTAAGGACTAGTTTTTCTATGGTTCTCATTGCATAATTTCTTTTATTTGTGAATATAGTGAAGCAGCATTTTCTTTTGGGTTTTAACTCTTATTACCTGATAAAGATGTAAAGATGTACAAGAATGATGCATTTTTTAAAAAGACTTGGAGATTTAAAAGAAATCTTCTTTGGTAATTTTATCTTGAATCAGTGATGTTAATTAATAAATGTATATAGAGGATAAATAGCCAGGGATACCCTCTTTCATACCAGCCCTCAAATATTTCCTGGATCAGGAAATGGGAAAGTAGTTCAAATCTAAAGGGTAAAAATGAAAATAAAGACCTGTACATGGTTCTCTGCCCCAAACTGGGAAAGGTCAATAAGAACATGCAGACATAATAACTGGGAGAATTTCTAGGCATAGAAACACATTCTGTACCCAGGGCAAATGTCTCTTCTGTCCCATCTTACCTACTTATTCTCCATTCTAGTTGTACTCTTGAATTTAAAGTTCAGCAAATCTTTACAATTATTTCATTTAAATGGAAAAATTGGAAGACTTGTTTACAAAAGGGGCATTTTTTTGAATGCCAAAGAAAACAAACTAACTTTAAAAAGATGATCTGGATTGCTCTTAATGTTTATAATGAATGCTATGTTAGTCACCAAAAGTGATCTACAGAGACCAACTTTATAATGTTATAGCATTGTATTCTTTAAACTTTTAAACAACAAAAGTATAGCTTAAATCACCAAAAATTCATGTTTCACATATTTATGGTGGTAACTTTACAAATCAATTCTTGTAATTTACTATAACATATATCTTTTACTGCTCATCTGGGTTAGCATAAACAGACCATATATGGTTTCTTGTGTGTTTTACAAATACTCTACACAAGTCCTTGAGATCATACTTACAGCTTTAGCAAAAACACCCATGATTTCTGGAAACTGGTGGGTGAGAAAGGCTATCATTGCTGTAGAAGAACACAGTCCTGCTGTAAAATGGATGAAAAAAGGAAGCTCCTTCTTTGGATAAACAGAAACATGATGAAAGGCTGAAAGGAAGAAAAGATAGGCATGAATTTTACTTCAGAAAATAATATAAATCATCTTACCATTTTCAAATTAAACATATTTAAAAGCTATAAAGAAAAAAATTTTAAAGACAAGAACAAGAAGTCTCTGACCAACCAAGGAAAATTTTCTGGCCATTATTTATTCTAGCATTAACAACATATCTACAAAACCAGATGACTGTTATGGGGTCTGAAAACAGGATGGCATCGTGGGAACTAGCACCGCTTACAAAGTCATGCTGAGATGGTTTTGAAAAAGAGCTTTGTCTTTTGAAAAGAGCTGTAAGTTGCTAAACCCTGTATAAGTTGCTATGGAGTTATTATAATGAACACTGTAAGCACTTAATAAATGTGAGTTATTAGTTTTTGTCTTTTGGAAGCTTAGAGACTAGTGTAAAAAGACAGACATACCATGGGGATTTCCAGAAACATCAGTTTATAATGTTACCTAGCTGTTTTTTATTTTATTTTATTATTTTTTGTCTTTTCTTTTTTTTTTTTTGGTACTGGGGATCGAACCCAGGACGTTGCACTTGCTAGGCAAGCGCTTTGCCACTGAGCTACATCCCAGCCCTATTTTATTATTTTTATATGTTCTGTGTGTGATATTTCACTGAGCACTGTAAATACTGGACTAGGAAACCAAACCCATATGTAGTTACCACATCAATAAGCAATTTCTTTCTAATGCATATACCCAAGACCATTCAGAATGGGTTCATATAGAATATTGTATATGACTATTCACAGCAACTATACTTGTAAAACAAAAAACTGGAAACAATTTAAATGAACATCAACTGGTGAAAGCTAACCAAATCCATACAATGGAATACTATCCAGCCATAAAAAGTAATGAAATACTGTTATATGCTATAATATGAACGAACCTTTAAAATATTGTGCTATGTGAAAATCAATCACAAAAGATCCTTTATTGTTTGGTTCCACTGACATGAATTTTCCCAGACTGTCAACTTGATACAGATACAACTTGATTAGGGGTTGCTTATGGGAACCCTGGGGAATGGGCCTGAGGTTTTTTTTTTTTTTAAGACACCAAAAGTATGCTAAAATTCTATTATATACCTATATATTATGCCTACATAACTTTGTAAAGAGACCAAAAGTATCAAAGAGTACATCTCTGTGTGCGTGCGTGTGTGTGTGTGCGCGTGTGCGCGCGCGCCAGTATTGGGACTTAAACTGTTGCTGTCTGGCCCAGGTGTTGTCCCTTAGCTTTTCACTACAGTATGTCCATTTACTCCTACTTCTAAACATAAGAGTCTGACAGACTTTCCTGTCTGGGCTGCCTTGGACCTGCAAGCCTCAGATTTCAGCCTCCTGAGTAGCTAGGATTACAAGTATGAACCATCAGTGCTTCACTGCATCTTATTTTTAAAATTTATTTTTGCAGCGCTAGGGATATAACTCAATGACTTGCACATGGCTAGGTAGGTGCTCTACAATGAGCTATATTTTATTTATTTTTTTATTTAGTGCTGGCACTGGGCTTGAACTCAGGGCCTGGATGCTGTCCTTAGCTGTTTTGCTCAAGGCTAGCATTCAGCATTCTACCACTTTGAACCACACCTCCACTTTTAAGTTGCATACTTTTGCCAGCACTGGCAGCTCATGCCTGTAATCCTAGCTACTCAGGAGGCTAAGTTCTGAGGATTGGGGTTCGAATCCAGCCCAGGCAGAAAAGTCCTCATGAGATTTTTATCTCTAATTAACCACCAATTAACCACTCAAAAACTGGAAGTGGCTCTGTGGCTTACCTGATGGAGTGCTAGCTTTGATGAGGCTCAGGGACAGTGCCCAGGCCCTGAGTTCAAGCCCCACAACCGACAAAAAAAAAGTTGCACACTTTAAATGAGTAAATTTATATTATGTGCTCAATAGAATTGTTTCACATTAAAAAAGTCCCTCAGCCAAGGGATTTTATCTATAAATGAGGTCCCATATCTTACCACATTTGCATACTAAAGAATTATTTTTTCTAGTAATTATGGCTGATTTTATTCAAATACTTATATTTTCTTTAAATTTCTGAAATATTTTAATATACAAAGTACTTACTTGACACACAGTAGGTGCTCAATAAATTCCAGTTAAACTGAGAGCTATTCTGAGACTTCCTTAGGCTAGCAAGTTGACAGCTCAGGGCTGGACACTAACCCAAGAATTCTGATGTAATATCCTGCATTTGTGAGGGATGACTAATTCAGTGGTGAACCGAGGTCAGCTATAAATTTTACTTTTTTAAACATAATGATTAACAGAGAAGGTTGCACCTAAACTTCCTTTAATAGCTACAATATTTTGGCTTATAGATATTCAGAGATTATATATCAAAAAACCAAATCCATTTTAAAAACTCCCAAAATTTTCCAGAGCCTTGAGCAGTATTTAAATGAAAAGTACAACAGAACTGATTTTTAAAACATTAGAAAATGTGTATAATATTTTGGGCTTTTCTTTTTTCTTTTTCTTTTTTTTTGGCTATTCTCTTTTGGTACTAGGATCAAACCTGGATGTTACAATTGCTAGGCAAGTGATATAGATATATCCTAGCCCAACACTGTGGTTTTAACACCCAAAGAACTAGCAATCCCTTCTACCCTATCCCTTAGCCATGACAGGCTGACTTCTCTCAGTAAACCAAGAGAAACCAACAATGGTACTTCAGAAAGCAGGAATAAAATAGCAAAATTAATATTACTCATTAAACTCTTTTATAATTTATAAAGTACTCATTTGATTTTTCATAACTTAACAGATATAGTATTTTATTCATTTTATAAGGTAGAAAACTTTCTATCTTTACTAATAAAAATTTTTTTAAATAAGGGATTTCTATACTGTAAGAAAGACGGAATTATTCTTTTTTGGATTGCTTTGTAGATTCATTTGTCAGTCAGTGTTTGGTTAATACATCAATATAATGAATGAATGACTAGTACAGAAACATTCCCTTGGAACAAGAGTTCAAATTTCAACACTGGCTTGTAGAGAAAATTTATCAGAGGCATAAAAGATGACAATAACTATGTGAACTAGGGGAATAGTTCCAATAGTTCCATAAGCAAATTCCAGAATTCTGTAACTCATATCAAGGCTGATGGAGAATTAAAAACAAAAAACATTAAGTACTCCTGAGTATTAGAACTCTACATTATTAAAAAATTATTCATCCTACCACAATCAGAAACAGGAAAAAAAACTGCAAGGAAATATATACTACCATAAGACAAAATCTTCCAGAATGTCCCTTTACTCCTACCTCTGGAGTGTACCTTGTATGGAGCTAGAATTAACTGATTTGCAAAAAACAAAAACTAAAACAAACAAAAAACCTGTTCAGTCTTGCAGCATATAGTTCTAACATAAAAAAACTCTCATAGTAACAAGTACATTTTCCCTTATATTAGTAATAATTTGCAAAGAAAAACATTTTAACAATATGCTTTTTTGTGCTTTTTTTTTTATTGTAAAGATACTATACAGAGGGTTACAGTTACATGAGTGAGGTAATGAGTACACTTCCTATTGAACATTGTTACCCCCTCCATTGTTTTCCCCCTACCATCCTTTCCCTCCCTCCCTTCCCCGAGGTTCTTTTTTTTTTTTGATTGTGATTAAGTGATTACATAATTTCCCGAATTTCACAGTATTGTGGAATAATGATGCTCATTTAAAGTCACAAGTTCATTCTAACTTTCCTGGAGCAAATTGTCTATCACAGTCTATAACATATAATGGTGTTCACATGTTATACACCGTACATGTGATCAGCAGCATGGGGATATTTAGTGGTGGTTCGACCAGATGAGTGGGAGTTCTTTGTTTCTTAAGTCCTGTTAGTTTTGTCGTATCACCTAACATTTTGGATTTAGCATCCACTTATCAGGGAGACCATGTACCGTTTGTCTCTTTGCTCTTGGCTTACCTCTCTCAACATGATTCCTTCTAGCTCCATCCATTTCCCTGAAAATGCCATTATTTTGTCATTTCTAGTGGCTGCATAATATTCCATTGTGTATAGATACTTTTGTGCTTGTTTTAAGTCAGTCTTGCTATGCATTCCAGGCTGGCCTTAAACTCATAATTCTCTTGCTTCAGCCTCTAGAGTGCGGAATTACAGGCATGTGCTATCACAACCAGCATATTAATGTTCCATAATTAAATATTCATTGTTTTCAGCTGGGTGCCAGTGGCTCATGCCTGTAATCCTAGCTACTCAGGAGGCTGAAATCTGAAGATCACGGTTCAAAGCCAGCCCAGGCAGGAAAGTCCATGAGTCTCTTATCTCCAATAAACCACTAGAAAACCGGAAGTGGAACTGTGGCTCAAGAGCAGTAGAGCGCTCACCTTGAGCTGAAGAGCTGAGGGAGAGTGCCCAGGCCAAGAGTTCAAGCCCCACTATCAACAAAAACAACAAAAAAAAAGATTCGTTGTTTTAAAATCTTTGCGCCTTTTAAAATGAAAAAATTAAGAACAGTATGATTTATTTTTTTGGCCTTAAGGTATAAGATGAAATTTCTGCCACTAATGACCTCCTAATTGCCAAAATCAATAGATTTTTCTTAGTAACTGTCTAACCTAATAGATCAGATATTTCTTCTCCCTCAGAAATTTCTTCCTTCTTTTTTTGTTTCTAGGATATCTAGTTCTGGCCCTTGTTTTGTCTCTTTGACCACTCCTTCACTAAATCTTGGATTGTTTTCTTTCTATTAATACAGTAGAAATTTTATGCCCTCATGGTTCTACCTTCAGATTACTTCTTAAAGTATACAGTTTCCCTTAATGATCTCTTTCTTACCTAGGACTTCTTTTACTACCTAGAAAATGATAAGTCTATAATCTTGCTTGTGAGATGTGGAGAAAAAGATATCAGGATCCCTGGCAATTTTATTTATACAACTTGAACCTGATCTTTTTTGGCCACTGCTAACAGAATCAGGAATGGATACTAGACATTAGATATAGGAGACTTTAGAGCAATCTAGTTTTAAAGGACTGAAGCATCATTTACTCTATAGTTTGCCTGAACTGATGGCATATAAATGTAGATCACCTGAATATGTATGCAGGGAACACCAAACTGCAAAGAGAGAAATACATAAATAAATCTGATGAACTGAAAGAAGCTTACAAGAGGTGTAGGAAGGAAGATGGGGGAAGAGAAGAAAAGGAGCGATTACATAAGGCAGCCAGATACAGAGATATACAGGTAACTGGTTCCTGCAAATCCTAACCATCTAGTTTCTGACTGTAGTCCTTTAGGGGCCCAGCTATCATCATTATAGTTGTACTTGCAACTAACTACCTTTTATGCTTAAGATGGATTGAAGTGACTGCTATTTATATCCAAAATGCCATCAACATTGAGTTCAGAGTTTGAACTCATGCAGGGTCTTCTGTTTGATTGGCAAGCACTCTACCACTTGAGCTATTTTTCTGCTGGTTATTTTGGAGACAGAATCTCCATAACTTTTCTGCACAGGCTGATCCTGTGGATCTCAATCTCCTGAGTAGCTAAGATAACATGTGTGAGCTATTGGCACATAGCCAAAAGACACTTTTATATTTGTTAAATTGATTATGTAATAAAATATTTAAGCATGTATATATACATACATATACACATGTGTATGCATATATGAATGAGTGATTACAGAGGCAACAAGCTCAAACTTGCTCCTCTCACTGTATAAAAGATTTACCATTTTCCAAATCACCCAAGTCAGAAAATTGACTCATCTTTGATCCCTAGAGAAATCCACAGTCTATTCCATACACATTTCACTGAACACTTTGTCTTTAATTCTGTTTTTCCTGAAGCAGGGCCTCATTATACAATCCAAAGTGGCCTCAAATTCTCAATCTTCTTGCCTCAACTTACCAAGTAATGGGATTACCGGTATCTCCTACCATGCTTGGCTTTCTACTGGTCTTTCTATTAACCATGAGCAGTCTAGGAGTTCAGAATAGGGCAAAAAGGAAAAAAGTAGTAATATTTAACATTCTTGTTGAGTGGGTACAGTGAATTAATGGATTTGAATAAGTCAAGCAATACTTACTGAATATTGGATTTTAAGTACTATATTTAGGGACAATATAGAGAATACTGGTCTTCAAAGAGTTCACAATATAAAAAAATGGAGATTAAGAAGTACATCAAGGGCTGGGAAGGTGGCTCAGTGGTAGAGCGCTTGCCTTGCATGCATGAGGCCTTGGGTTCCATTCCTCAGCACCACATAAGCAAAAAGAAAAAAGCTGGAAGTGGCGCTGTGGCTCAAGTGGTAGAGCGCTAGCGTTGGGCTGAAGAGCTGAGGGACAGCGCCCAGGCCCAGAGTTCAGGCCCCATGACCGGACCCAAACAAAAAAAAAAAAAAAAAGAAAAAAGAAGTACATCAAACACTTTGAGAGTTCTATAAAAGATGACATCAGCTATCTAGCAGATGACAAAAAATAAAAGAACAACTTGCTGGGTGCTGGTGGCTCACACCTATAATCCCAGCTACTCAGGAAGCTGAGATCTGAGGATCATGATTCAAAGCCAGCCTGGGCAGGAAAGTCCATGAGACTCTTATCTCCAATTAACCACCAGGAAACCGGAAATGGTGCTGTGGCTCAAGTGGTAGAGTGCTTGCCTTGAGCTGAAGAGCTCAGGGACAGAGCCCAGGCCTAGAGTTCAAGCCCTACAACCGACCAAAAAAAAAACAAACAAACAAAAAAAAAAACCCTAGGGAGAAGAGTATCAGAATTCCTAATTTGTATAATCTCTCTAAGTTTTTCATTTATCTTAACTTTTCAGCTCATTAAATTTGTTGATAGTGAGACTGCAACTTTACTTGCTAAGCATCTAATGGCTGAGTCTTACAAAAATTATAGTACAAATTTACATTATACAGGAAACACAGTGCTAATGTTTATGTGCTTCAGCATGATTACCTATCAGTAAAACAAATATTTACCAGTTCACAGAGAAAAGGAATGAGTAGATAAAGCAATTGAGGCAAAATTTAGATGGCTATTTTGAAAATTTGGCTTCTTGAAAGCAAGGACTAGGTTGAATCATTCTCAGCAATCTTAACCATGCATATTTCTTGTTCTTCTAACTTTTGACTGTTATTCAAATTACAAAGTATAGCCACTTCAATTTTTCCTTTATAAACTCTAATAGCCGAAACAGTATTTATAATAGGTCAAGAATTTGCAAAATTCCTCTTGGAATTTTAATATGGATTGTATTAAATCTATGGGTCAAATAGACAATGACTGCCATATCAATAATACTCAGTCTTCTAATCAACTAATGTGAACTTTCCCCCCATTTATATGGATTTTCTTAAATTTCTATATGCAATATCTTAGTTTTTAGTATAGTTATACTCTGTTAAATTCATTTCTAAGTAATTTATTCTCTTGATGCTAAAATGGTTGGAATTATTTCCTACATTTCATTTTTGTATTGCTCATTGTTATGTATATAGATATATAATTGATTTTCTTCTTTTTTGTAGTGGAAATCAAATCTAAGGCTTTATATATGCTAGGAAAGCATTCTACCTAAGCTATACTGACAAGCTTGATTCCTAAATATTGATCGCATATCGTATAACCAGGTTGAATTCATTTATTATTTATGAATATCTTTGTATTTCCTAATAGATGTTCATGCCATCTATCAACAAAGACAGTTTTAATTCTTCCTTTCTGATATAAATGTCTTCTATTAATTCTTTCTGATTACACTGGTTAGAATCTCCAATATGATACTGAATAAAAAGTAGTGAGACCCTGGGCTGGGAAGGTGGCTCAGTAGCAGAGCGCTTGCCTTGCATGCCTGAGGCCCTGGGTTCGATTCCTCAGCACCACATAAGCAAAAAGGAAAAAGCCAGAAGTGGCGCTGTGGCTCAAGTGGTACAGCGCTAGCCTTGAGCTGAAGAGCTGAGGAACAGCGCCCAGAGTTCAGGCCCCACAACCGGACCCCCAAAAAACCCAAACATACAAAAAAGTAGTGAGACCCTATATTTTGATTGGGGAAAGGCATTCAATATTCTTCTATTAAGTATGATATTAAATGTTTTTGAATACACTACCAAGTTGAAGAAGTCTCCTTCTATTTGTAATTTGAGAGTTTTTTTTTCTTTATCACTAATAGGTGTTAGATACTGTCAGATGCTTTATCTGCATCTATCATCTGCCATATATCACATTTTCAGATGTTAAACCAACTTTGTATTTCTGAGGTGAATCCCACTGGGTCATGGTACTTATGTACCATGTACCTTATCCTTTCTGAATATTGCTTAAGTTTGCTAATATTTTGCTGAAGATGTTTATGCTTACATTCATAAGGGCTCTTGGTTCTACAGGTTTTGTTTTTGAGAGAATTATATCAGAGTAATACTGTTTTTATCAAATGAGTTATTTCCCTTCTCTTTTTGAGTTTGTGAAGGATTATTTTCTTTTTCATGTTTGTAATGTGGCACAGATTTGCAATCCTCACTACTCAGGAGGTTGAAGCAGGAGGCGTTTGAGTCAGAGGGCAGCCGGAGCAATAGAGTGGGATTCTAGATTTGATCACCCCTGACACTGTCAAAACAAAAATGTTTGTAAGATGACAGCACTTTTTTATGTCTTTAATCTTTGTGCTCTTCCATGCATTTAACAAAGGGTTTTACCCCAATAAAGTATTTGAAAATGAACTGCATTATGCAACTATATCCTAGAAATGGCTAAAAAAATGTTTAAAGGTCTCAAATTTCAACCAAAGTGATTTTAAAATTGAGAATGCTATGGAAAATATTATAGTTAGAATATAGTACACTCAAGTGTTTTAGGAAGTTGGTCCTCAGAGTGGTGTATTGGGAAGTAAAATCTTGAGATGAGACCTAGTGGGAGGTTTTTGAATCACTGGGGGGGGGGGGGAGTATGATCTTTTGAGACTCTGCTCTATCTGTCTGTCTGTCTATCTATCTATCTCTTTGCTTCAAAATAGCTTCAAGATAGCTTCAGTTATGACTCAGACTCATGCTCATACCATTGCCATGTGCTTTATGCAGTAATGCTGTCAAGGAGCAGCCCTCATTTCAGAGTCTGTGGTATGCCGTTTAAATTTGAACCTATATATAAAATGGTGAGCTAAATTGAGCTCTTCTTCATAAGGTATTTCATTATAGTGACAAGAAGATGATACACACAGAAAGCAATTTATAAGTAATTAAACAATTAAAAGTTTGAGAAAACTGAAATATTTACTTACTAGGTAATAGCTCTCTATCAGCAGTCTCTGTGCAGCTGGGATAAGGGTAAAATAGATGTCCTTTCTCTAATGGGTATGGAATCATTCTAAAAGCTGAAGGGGGAAAAAACATGTTGATTTATTTAATTCTCTCATTTACCATACCATACTATAGATCAAAACTACGTTGGAAACTTTTTAAAATAAAAAATTCATATAAGATTTTCTTTTTAGACATTTTAGATGAAATAAAGTAAGCAAAAGAATGAATAGGTTAAGGAATAAGACTTATTTATAGAATAGTAAATTATCTAAAACAAAATGGAGCAGTGGATGATTCATTAGGTCCTTCTTTGTCAGTCTCCTCAATACACTTAGGACTTCATTCCACAAGTATAAATACCACTTCTTCGGAAAATCTTCATAGAATTGTATGGCCTTAAATTTGCAACCTAAAAGAGTTCTTAATGACTCTTAACTTCATGAGAGAGATTTCACCGAAGTTTTCTGTGAGTGGGGCTAAGAACTGCTAAATTATGATCTAGTTATTTGCTTAAAGTAATTCAGGAAGTCAGTGATACTATGAGAAAATAATTCAGAAAGATGCATGAATTAAGCCAGCTTCTATAATCCTAGCTACTCAGGAAGCTGAAATCTGAAGACAGCAGTTCCAAGTCAGCCAAGGTAGAAAACTCTGTGAGACTCTTATCTTCAATGAACTAGCAAAAAGCAAGAAGTGGAGGTATGGCTCAAATGGTAAAGCACCAGCCTTGAGAAGAAAAAGCTAAGTGAGAGCAGATGCCCCAGGTCAGATCCAGTACCATCACAGACACAGACACAGACACAGAAACATACACGTGCACACACACAGATGCATGAATTATAGTGTAAATAATATATTTATTTTTTAATAATATATTTATTAAAAACCCATATGTGGCAGGTAGAATGCCAGGCATTAAGGCATATATAAAATGCATGAAGAGAGTACCTGGTTTTGAGGGACTTACAGACTACTAGAGAAGGCTGAAAAACTCAAAGACATTCAGGTCCTTAATTATATTATCTGTTTCATTATCAGTGTCAAGCACAGTGTATGACTGTTAGTAAATTGTTAACACAGAAGTTTCTAAATTCTGTTGGTTCAAGGATACATGGTGCCATTCACTTCTCAGTAATAGTAGTAGAAGTAGTAATATTTTGTTGCTGAGACTTGAACCCAGGGCATAATGCATGCTAAGCTTGTACTTAGCTATACCCACTGAGCTATACCTACAGCTTCAGTGTCTTTGTATGAGGGACAAGAGGCTGAAAGAAATATCTATCAATTCCATTTACTAATTAGTATGTACAAACCACCTAAAAATTATCTTTTAACAACTTAGCAATGAATACATGTAAATTGAAAAATATTCTTATTTCACTTCTAAATAATCATTTCAGCAGGGCATGATGGTGCACACTTGCAGTCTCAACTACTCAGGAAGCTTAGGGAGGAAGATCATATGAACCCAGGAATTCAAGACCAGTCTAGACAACAACAACACAAACAGATCTAAAAACAAAAAGTATTATTTCTTATGAATGAGATATATTTATGAGCCTGTTAAACACTAAACAACTGCTTAAACAGTGGGATCATACTTGGATACCACCATCTTCATTTTCTATAGAAAGTACTAAACACTGTGTGGTACTTCTTTTAATCACAGTAACTCACAAACAGCTTACTATAAAAGTATAAAAGTTACTGTTACAAACATGGAAAGAAATGGAGCCTGACATAATGCTGAAATTGTGAATTATCTGGAGATAATAGTTTGAGTGGTATCCGACAGATGTTAAATATTATTGTATTTCCATGAAAAATTTAGAATATAGCCAGGCGCTGGTGGCTCACATCTATAATCCTAGCTACTCAGGAGGCTGAGATCTGAGGATCATGCTTTGAGGCCAACCAAGGCAGGAAACTCCATGAGACTTTTATCTCCAATAAACTACTCACAAATGCTGGAAGTGGTGCTGTGGTTCAAGTGGTAGAATGCTAGCCCTGAGCACAGAGAGGCTCAGGAACAGTGCCCAGGCCTAGAGTTCAAGACTCAGGACAGGCAAAAAATAAAAAAATAGAATATTCCATGGTACTTTTGGGACTTCCTTTCAGGTTCCACAACACCTTATTGCAAAGTTTCGGAACACTTTTTTTTTTTTTTCCTGGTCATGGGGCCTGACCTCTGGTCTGGGCCTCAGCTCTTCAGCTAAAGGCTAGCCCTCTACCACTTGAGCCACAGTGCCACTTCCAGTTTTTTCTGCTTATGTGGTGCTGAGAAATCGAACCCAGGCCCTCATGCATGCAAGGCAAGCACTCTACCGCTGAGCCAACTGCCCAGCCCTGGGAACACTTTTAGTTAGTAACAATGAACTTAGTTTTGAAGTTTTATTAACAGTTAAGGTATGCTGTGAGTCCCGCTGATAAAATAAGCTTCTTTTTTTTTTCTTCTTTTTTTGTCACTTGTAGAGCTTGAACTCTGGGCCTGAGTGCTGTCCCTGTACTCTTCAGCTCAAGGTAAGCACTCTACCACTGAGCCACAGTGCCACTTCCAGTTTCCTGGTGGTTAATTGGAGATAAGAATCTCAAGGACCTCCCTGCCTGGGCTGGCTTTGAACTGTGATCCTCAGATCTCAGCCTCCTGAGTAACTAGGATTATATGTGTGAGCCACCGGGTGCCTGGCTTCTTCATTTTCTTAATGGTTAAGAAGCTATAGATAAAAGATTTAGAAGTTAGTTAAAAAGAGTCCAATTTACTCTCAAAGAAAATATACACACGAACCACTAATCATTAGGAAAATGCAAATCAAAATCACGAGACCCTACTTCATACCCAGTAAAGTGGTTATTATCAAAAATGAAAACAGAAAATAGGAAATGGTGATAAAGACACAAAGAAATTGTAACTTGTGTCTATGGCTGATGGGAATGTCAAAAGTTGCAGCTACTATAGAAATCAGTATAGTGTTTCCTTTAAAACTAAACATAGAATTTCATGACAGAATTCTGGAGATGGATGGTGATGACTGCTCCTTAATAATGTGAATATATGCAATGCTACTTAACTAAACACAAAATGGTTAAAATGGTAACGTTTATGTTTACATGTATTTTAGCACAGTTTTATACATTTCAATTTTCACTTTGTACATACTTCAAAACAAAATCAGACCAACGTCTAAAGTATTTTATAAGGTTTAAGGGTGCAGCTCAGTGGTAGAACAATGAGTAAGGCCTTATGTTTGATCTCCCCCCTCTACACACAATCAAGCCACATTAAAAATCTTACAAGGCAAAGAATTTACATTTTCCTTTTCTTTCATTACAAATATTTAACTTAAATAGTTCTCATTCTGCTTTTCCTAAATGTGGAATTCAGAAACCTAGACAATTCATTTAAGAAGGTGGCCTGTAGTAAGATATTAGCATTACATTTGGAAAAGAATACTCACTGCCTTCCCATGTACACTGCAACAGATTAAGAGCACCTTCTATCCGTTTCCAGTGCTGAAGATGGAAGAATGCATAGGCAATTGCTTCACTATCACCTCGTTTCAGAATGTGTTCTGGAGGTAAAATTAAACTTTTCATCTCTAGTAAATACTGTAGAAATAGCACATATACAACAGAAAAAAATTAAAAAAGTAAATAGTATTAAACTCAATTACAAAATATTCAAATACCATAAAATCAAATTGATTTTTTAAAAAACACATAAAACTAGTGGAGTTATATGAAGGTCCTTCTGAAAACTTGTATATACAATGTTACATATACAAACCCCTCAAATCAGAACATTTGTATAGGTAGAAATAAGGTGATAAATACCTGTGTGACCTTACTAAATCTGAAATGTAAACTAAAGCTGAGGAAATTATGTAAGTACACCGAACTTATTTATTTTCCAAAAAAGAATTATACATGAACACAAAACGTATTTGTGGAACAATATTGTGTGCCAGCATTCAATTATTTTGCTTTGATTCCCAATTTATGGGTGAAAAGCTTACATCTCAAAAATGTAATTAAGTTAATATTTACTGAATGCAAAGCACTATTAGTTACTAAAACACAGTCTGTTCTCTGAAGCTCCATAATACAATAGGAAATTACATGAATATTTCTTAATAATTATAATCAGACTTATTAGAAGTATGAACAATGTACATGGATAAGAAATTTGTATGTGTGCCAGGCCCAAGGCTTGGATTCAGGGCCTAGGTCCTTTCTCTGAGCTTTTGTACTCAAGGCTAGTGCTCTATCACTTGAGTCACAGCTCTACTCCACTTCTGGCATTGTGGTGTTTGACTAGAGATAAGAATCTCATGGACTTTCCTGACTTCAAACCATGATCCTCAGATCTCAGCCTTCTGAGATCTTCTGGATTACAGGATTATAGGTATGAGTTGCTGGCACTCAGCTAATTTTTATTTTGTTTTAAAAACAGCTTTATTGAGATATAATTCATATACCTTAGAATTTCCCATCTAAAATGATATTTATTATGTTTAGATATGTTTATCCATCACCACAGTTTTAGAAAATTTTCATTTCCTCAGGAAGAAGTCCTGTGCCCTTTACTATCATTCTGTATTCCCTTATTTCCTCAACTTCCCTAAACAAATAATAACCTTTTTTTTTTTTTTTTTTTGTCGGTCGTGGGGCTTGAACTCTGGGCCTGGGTGCTGTCCCTCAGCTCTTCAGCTCAAGGCGAGCGCTCTACCACTTGAGCTACAGCGCCACTTCCGGTTTTCTGGTGGTTTATTGGAGATAGGAGTCTCACGGTCTCTACTGCCCGGGCTGGCTTTGAACCGTGATCCTCAGATCTCAGCCTCCTGAGTAGCTAGGATTACAGGCGTGAGCCACCAGCGCCCGGCTAATAACCTATTTTCTATCTCTCTCTCTATAATCTGTCTGCTCTGGGCACTTCATACAAATAGAATAGCACAATTTTGTGGTCTTCAGTGTGACTTTTTTCCCATGGAGCATGTTTTCAAGGTTTATCCACATTATAGGACATTTAGGTACTCTTTTTTTGTGGTAAAATCATTTCCTTGTATAGACCTATTACATTTTATTTATCCACTCATCATTTATCCATCCCTTTTACCAATCCTCCCTATGCAGTCCAGGCTAGCCATGAACCTACAATACTTCAGCCTCATCCCCTAGAGTGGAAGAATTACAGGTATGTATTACCATCCCTGTCTTAGTTCAAACTATTTAAAGCTCTTCCCCCACTCCCTTGATCCAAGACTGGGACTCCAACTCCATACCTGCATCCGCTTTCACTCACTATCTAGCACTCTACCAACTGAGCTATGCCTGCAACCCCTTATTTCAAACTCTTGAAATTATTTGTCCTACTATTATCTGTAACACAAGCAATGTAATCACAATTACTACACTCATCAGGTTTACATTAATAAAGGCACAAAATCAGGCACTTATGCATCATCTTTACTACTAGTCATCTTAAAACAAAGTGTTCAGAATATTTTAGTTAGCTGATACTCCCTCCATAAAGACAGAGGCCAAAATGTACTTCCTATAGAATAGGCTTGAAAATTGTATTTTAAGAGAAACATTTCAGAGGTGTCTCAAAAGATATATTCTTACATTTTAAATTCTGTTATCTCAGGTTGTTATACAAACAATTAGCAAAAAGAGTTTGTGAGGGCTGGGAATGCGGCTTAGTGGTAGAGTACTTGCCTAGTGTGCATGGAGCTTTGGATTCAATTCCTAAGTACCACATACACAGAAAAAGCCAGAAGCAGAGCTGTGGCTCAAGTGGTAGAGTGCTAGCCTTGAACAAAAGAAGCTTGGGGACAGTGCCCAGCCCTGAGTTCAAGCCCTGGGACTGGCAAAAAAAAAAAACAACCCCCCCCAAAACAAAAAAAAAGTTTGTGAAATACTTTCTACGACTGCCATAAGCAACATGGTTCCAGAAGAATCTTAAAGACAAAAAGATGTGGCTTCAATATGTAAGCCTTATGTAATCCGTTAATATGATGTAGTCATAATATTTATACATCAAAAATATTTTTTCTTCTTTATGAAATGTGCCACTCCTATTACCAAGCTTCATGCCCATCTTTAATTACTTAACTCTTAATGTTTCTGGGCCTTGTCCTCCAAGTTTAAGCAGGTAGTCTGGTTATCAATTTATTTTAGCAGATGTCACAAACTATGAGATTATTTACTAATCCAGTTTGGGGACTTAAAGGAATGCGGCAGAGGTTGTGTCCTGGTCAAGCAAAGCCCATTTGCTGCCTGGTTGGGTTTTCTCCCCTCAGTGACTTAGGCCTATATTCAGGAAGGTCATATTCTTCCTAATCCTCTCTAATCCTTGCCCAGTTTTTGGAAACACAGTAGAAGATCACTCACACCAGGCATCTGTGGGAAAATGGACTCAACTAGCTGACCTCTGACATGACTCCGTGTGCTCTTTGCAAGTGCATTGAGAGCTTCTTTGCTTCAGTAGCAGCAAGACAATGTGGCAACCACGGTGGTATCACCATCAGAAAGAGAATTTTATTTTCAGAAGAAAACTGTTTAATTCCTAAACCAGAGCCTTCCTATCCTGCTTAAATTTTGCTTAAATTTTAGAGAAGAAAATTTTTTTCCAAATTATTTCCATGAGTTTTCGAATGCAGAAGCTTTAAACCATATCACAACATGACATTTAGAGTTTGGTAACCACTGAGAAAATATAAGCAAAAATATTTTTAATAAACATTATTTAGTAAAATTTATTGACCACATCAATTTGATGACACATCAAGAATATGCTTTTGTTGAACAACTATATATTTACATTTTCACTAGTTAATTAATCTGTGTCCGTGCAGATGGTATTAAGTATATGGTAATGTAATTAGGAAATTATAATTCAAGATTTTTCATTTTAAAAATGTTTGCTATTGAATTGTTTTCAGACAAGGTCATGCTATGGAACCCAATTAGACTTGAATTCACAATTCTCTTGCCTCAGCATCCTGAATGCTGAGCTTATAGGTATGCATCAACATACTTGCCTCTAATTATTTTTATGTGTTCCTAATGCTACTTAAAAAAATTATCTTCCAGCAAATGTCCTTTTCAACTTGGTTCTAAAGCAAAGCAAAATTTTAGTTTCTGCACTGACACTGAAATAAAATTTGGCTCCTAAAATTTAAGAAAGTTTCAGTTTAAGAAAAATGTATTTAATATGTTCAATGTATACCTCAATGATAGAATGTGTACTTGGTATACGTAGGCTTTAGGTTCAATCCAAGCTGTGCATGTGCACATGTACACACACACATACATTTTTTAAACGCTATAGAATTATTACTTAATTTACCTCCTTCAGAAACTATTATTTAGGAATTTCTGCAATAAATTGCTACAGAATAAACACTCTATTGTCCATGTTAAACTGCTGCATGTAGCACATTACAGTACCTAAACTGATCTGATGTAGATAGCAAAAATGTGTTCAAACTCAAATTTTAGGAGTTTTTGTTGTTTTTTGGCTTGTGTGTGTGTGTGTATGTGTGTGTGTGTGTACGTGTGTGTGTGTGTGTGTGTGGTACTTGAGATCTGAATTTAGGGCGTTGAGTTTGCTACCCTGGTACTATACTGCTGAGCCATGCCTCCAGCATTGTTTTTCACAAATTATTTTTTACAATAGGGACTTGCTCCCATCTGGCTGTCTAGGATCACAGGTGTACCACCTCATTCATTTCTATCCATGGAGAGTTTGTCTGCCCAGGCTGAGTTTCTCTGCCCTGAGGACCTGCAATCATCCTCTTAATTCACATCATTCTACTTAGCCACCATGTGCCTATGGATTTAGAAAAAAATCTTGCAAACTTTTCTGCCCTTTTCTGTTCTTTTCAATTTGGCTTTAAAGCAATGTAAATTTGGTATGTCAAGAAAATGTCTGTCCAGGACAATGAAAATCTACTAATTCTCAACTTTCAAGTAACCAGAATTATTGAAATGAGCCACTAGTGCTCAGCTGGGTCTCTTATCTATGCCCTCTCATAGGTTGGATTGCAAGCTTATGCTCAGTTTATTCACTGAGATGGAACCTCACTAACTTTCTACCTGGGCTGACCTTATACTGTGACTCTAACCAATCTTCATCTCTTGAGTAGCTAAGATTATAAGCATGAACTACTGTACCCAGTCTACAGTTCAGTTTTTACTTAAGGTATTTTCTAACTCTGGGTAAACTAACAGTAAACAAAACCCTGCTATATAGACTTCTTTTCTAAGAATATGAAAGGCTAAAAACTAAAAGACACTTATTTTGCTTTCTTCTTTTTTTTCTGCGTAGTAAAGAATAATCTGAGTGTACAAAACTGTTAACAGAGATAGGCAACAAAAAATAAAACATTACATGTTTAGAGAATAAAAGAATGAAAAAATAATCTGATGCGTGTCTAGATTTCTCCTTTATACATAATATACACATTCCTTCCCCCCCTCTCTCCATTCTTCCTTTTATTTTATATAATTGAAGATTGAACCTAGTGCTTTGTCCATGCTAGGAAAGTGCTCTACCACTGTATTGTATCATAATCTCTATGCACAGTATACTGAGTCTATTTTTT